CCAGACTATGTTGCTTGCATTATCCAGAACCCTCTCTAAACGGAACTCCAGGTGGCAGCAATGAGAGAACGTGATTTTTAGGTTCAGAGAACCTTTCTTGCAGAGGATGTTCTGTGGTAGGACGGGAAAGGGTGAAAATTTCTTCCACCCTTTACCTTGACAGTCTGGTAACTTCCCATTATATTGCATTGCAATATGTACCATCTCCACTAGCCATAGAAGGATGGTTGATTGTGTACTTTTTAATAAAAGATTAATTTAAGACTGTGGATGCCTTTTGTAAAATTGAGAATCACCAATTGCAGTTACTATATTTCCATAGATTGTTAGAGAGAACAGTGTCTCCCTTCATGCAACTGAGATGCCATCATCGGAAGATCTTAATTTGGAGACCTTGGCGTAAGTAATTGTGCTCACTTTTGCAGAATCCTTTAAGCAGGTGAAATAAAGGACAACTCTCAGGCTTATAGCAATAAGACTTACAGTATATGCCACTTCATAGTGCATCACAGCACTCTCTAAGCGGTTTAATTTTCCCAAAATCTGGGTCCTTATTTTACTGACCTCAGAAGGATGGAAGGCTGAGTCAACCTTGAGCTGGGTAGGACTGAACTGCTGGCAGTGGGCAGAGTCAGCCTGCCATACTGCATTCTAACCACTGCACGGCTCTATACACATTCATTTCTATGTAAAAATTGCTACAAAGAGACTGTGAATGCCAGAAACTTGAAAATATAGACTAGTCCTGTTTTTGAAATCAGACTAGTGATGCCATGTGGATTAAATGGAGGACAACATTTATTATACTGCAAATACAATATGAGGAAGTACCCTTGGAGATAATTATATACAGGTATTTCTGTTTCTTGAATTTCTGGAAGAGAATAATACAGGGAATTAGTATTTTTGCCCTACATTAGGCCTTCCCAGCTGTTGATGTTAGCTATATTAACTATCAATGCATATCCCAAGGAAATCTCTGCTTGTGGCAACATAGAGACTGTAGGCGGATTCCTCTTTTGACTCCACCCTCAGGCTTTGCCACTCCTTCTCCTATATTGTAGTCATTATGATATTTTTCAAATATTAAATTATTATGATACTTTTCAAATGTTATTACTGAGTAGAGAAAAGTGCTGATTTCTGGCTTCATCTCATAATACAGCTGGAAGGGTCTCCCAGTTCAAATAGGAGGTTTGTGCAATACATTTGGTAGTTGAGATGAGGACTTGTGTGAATCCCCAATTGCTTGTTTCACATTTCTCATTGGATGAAACAAACCTTTTCATACGAAAGTTAATAGATTGCATATCATTTAATAGATTGCATACCATTTAATTTGAAGATGAGGGTAGACTGGTACTTTGGGACCTGATGTAAAATCCAAACCTCTTAAAACAGAGGTGGCCGGTGGCCATTAATCTAATATTTCAATGAATCCGTTTGCAGATGGTTTTTTAAAACAAATCAGATTCATATCTTTGGAAACAGCAGTCTGTGTATGACAGCTACTTTCTGAGCAAACAGAACTGTAGTAAGTAGTAAACGAGAAGGAGGTGTAGAGGATGCATCTCTTAATTGATTCTTTGCAGTACTAGGAAATAATTTTTCCACCTCTTTCTTTAGGACCCCTGTTTCTAAATTTGCATTAAATGCAATTAATGCAGTTGTAATGAACTTTTCATAAAGGAGCTAGATGGCTCTCAATGTTTCATTTCCTTGTTTTCTTCCTGGACCAGTCTTCATTCCATTTCTCCTTTGGAAAACCAGGATTAACTATATAAAAAGGGCATAATGGAAGGTTTTATCTGAGTCAGTAGTCACTGTATCTTCTACAAGTAAAGCTATTTCAAGGCATTTCCTCAGATACTCAATTCATTCCTTTCATATTCCCCTCCAGGATTTAAGAGAATGCAGCTTACCTACTGCCTGGAGCCATTGCTTTTTATCTCCTCTTTTTTAACAATTGAGGAAATGCAGGGAACTATGATTAATCCTTCACAATATTTCAAAAAATTTTATATTAACTGTTTCTTTCTAGGCAGGCTCATGTCTATATCATTGCTGGTTCCTGTTTGTCCCTGGGTTTTCGATTTGCTGGTTCAGAAAATCTGGCTGCATTTAACTGTTTGGTAAGTAGATTAATGGCTAATTAGTATTTGACGTGATCTACACAGCTGGGATATTTTGCAAGTCCAGAGTACATTACTATGATTCAAAAAACCATGTTTCCATTTGGTTGAAAGGCAAATGAGCATGTCAGGCTTCATGAATGCAAGGATACCTGTGGAAATCTAATGTCAGCATGCACAAAAGTTGAGAGTAGAACAAGGCAGCTCTCCTTTAGCTCATGGCTAAAGTAATGATGGTGTCTGGGCATCTAAATGACTGGGACAAATGATCACTGATACTTTAGCTTACTTGAAATAATATTTTTAAAAGTCACAGCAAATAAATCTATACATAACTCTTTCCAAGAAAAGTTTGAGGGTTTTCTTAAGGAAATATATCTAGTATTAATTTGCTTGATTTTTCATCAACTTTTGATCCCTGAATTTTGCTAGTTATCTTAGTTAAAAAGATATTGTGTACATCTGTTTCTCTTCATACGTAGCGTTGTTCTATAGTAATACAATTGCCTTTTTAAAAAACTCTTCCCTCTTTGACTTTCCCCAGTCTTTCCCCATGATAAGTTATTTCAGTTTTCCCCAGGCAAATTCTTGCTGCTGTCTAGGGATAGTGGAAATTCCAGTACAGAACATCTGGACAACACTGAGTTGGGGAAGGTAGAATTAGTCTTTTAACTAACTGTACTTGTTGGACAGCTAGCTAAATATAATAATCTGTTCCTTAACTATCAGCCAACAGTTTAAAATGGAGTAGAAATTAGGAAATGCTTATTTTTCAGTATAATTAAAAACATAACATTGCAAAATGTAGTATAGGATACAATATTATTATTGTGGCTTGTCGGCTGCCAGCCCTTTTTGGTAGCCAAATCAGATGAGGAGGCAGCATTGGAGTCAGGGCTAGCATCCAGGCAATCTGAGAGCTCTGAGGAGGAATGGAGCTGCCAGAGATAGAGATAGAGACAGAGGCGGAGCCTAGGTCATCCATCAGCCCTCAGATGGAGAGTCAACAGCTCCCAGGTCTGGAGGTGGCTAATGAGGAAGAGGAGGAACAGCTGGGTCCAGTGTCTGATGTGCGGATGCACAGAAGGCAGAAAAGAGGAGAGCAGTGGAAATCTATGGGCAAGTCCTTGGGATGGAACAGTCACTGCTGCTAGCAAAGCCCCACCCTAGCTCTGGGGATAAAGGGGGTGGAGATTAATAGGTGTGGCAGACAACTATTCATCTCCCTATTGATCAGCCACTGATAGCCTGCACTTCTGAATCCTGTCTGGAAATTATCAGAATTATTCTTGGAATCTACAGCGCCTTTTGAGCGTGTGTGTGTGTTTGCTGCTGGACGAAAGCGAGCATACCTTCCAAGACTTCCTTTGCAAGTGTGGGGAGAGAGAGAGAGAGAGAGACTCCTGGTGTGTTGGGCCAGTTCCGGGGGAAAGGGAGCGAGTGTCACTTTCCACAGGACTTGGAGACTTCTTAGCCTGCCTGCTGTGAGAGAGCGGCTGCTGGCACTCCTAATAAAGGGAAAGTTTTGTTAACTACAAAGGGCTTGTTATTATTTGGGAGCCGGGTCAGAACAATTGTGCAGCTGAATGTCCATATTTATTTTAGAGAATTTCATGAGACTGGGACCATAAATGAGGAGACATTCTTCATTTGCCTGATAGAGATTCTTGCCTTAGCTAGATGAACCTCAAATATATTTAACACTGATTCTATGAAAGAGGGGAAATTCCTTCTGGGTAGCACTGTTGCAGAAGATCTAGTTTGCATGACTGGAACTTCTGAGTTCTCTTTCCATTCTGTGCTTGTTTTTTTCATTGCCACAATATATTTGCTCATCTTGAATTTCTCTTTCTAGTTTGCATTTGCAAAAGACTTCATGAAGTGTTTATCGTCAGCTACAGCTTCCATTGTAAGTTTCTTTAAATTCATTACGGTGTTAGTACAAGTGAAGCTTTATACTAGTTTTTCTTGTTTAAATCGGTTGTGGTTTATTAGGTCATCAAACTAGCTCACAGAAAATTCTATGCTGCCTTATCTTTCCATGTCCATACACACACACCTAAAATAGTAGTAATAAATTACACAAGTTGCTTAAGTTATATGAATATAAAAAACAATATATTCTTTCTGGAAAGTATCAGATTTTTTTTGTAGATAGGGTATAAGCTATATACTAAGAAAGAGAAAATTTTATGTCAACATTTTAATAACACTGTTCCTCCATTTTAATAGGGAAAGTAACTTTGGGGATTCCATCAAATTATTAATTTGATTAAAGGCCTGGAGACTAATATGAAGAAATGGTTGCAAGAACTGGGTATGGCTAGTCTAGAGAAAAGAAGGACTAGGGGTGACATGATAGCAGTATTCCGGTATTTGGGGAGCTGCCACAAAGAAGAGGGGGTGAACTTATTTTCCAAAGCACCACAGGACAGGACAAGAAACAAATCAGAGAGAAGCAACCTGGAATTAAAGAGAAACTTCCTATCAGTGACGACAATTAACCAGTGGAACAGCTAGCCTTCAGAAGTTGTGGGTGCTTCATCACTGGAGGTTTTTAAGAAGAGCCTGGACAGCATTTGAGATTTATTAGTCTAGTAGGAATTCATATGCCTCTCAAAAGTAATATCCATTCATTCTCTCTTTTCCAAGGATTCTTAATTTTAGCAACTTTATTTACAATAAATAACTACTAACATTGCTAGTCTTAAATGATTGGCAGCCCAAATCCCTTGATGATTACTAGTAGAGACAATTTGTCTTTTAGCTGCTCTGCTTAGATTTTGATGGGCATTTTTTGTTGGCTGGGAGCTGGTGTTTTTATTATGTTTACCTGTCAGGGGCTGTAGTTATATGGCTATAATACTGGGAGGGGGGATAGATTTTCATCTTGTTTCTTTCAGTGTTTAGGTGATGGGGAAGAACTTTTAACATTTAATACAAAGCTGGATTTGTGCCCGCAAAAGAACAAAACCTGACCATTAAAATCAGTATTTTCTCATTGAATAATGATGGGAGTGATCCTGGGCACCGGGTTTGGGTGCCTATGTACAGGATGTGGGTTGCTTATTATTGGTATAAATGACTTTTTTTTCAAAGTAAGTATTGCGGAAGTTGGTGCGCTTTATATAGTCTGTCATTTGCTAAAATTAGTTTCTCTAAAGATGGCAATCTTGCCAGCTTAGAAGCATATTTAGAATGTGCAAAAGTAGGTATAAAAAAAACAATCTCTTCCATATTTCTTAGGCTGGGCACTATAACCTAGAGACTTGTCTGAGTGTGGTGTTGCTTTCCCTTGCAATGGTGATGGCAGGATCTGGGAACCTGAAGGTTCTTCAGCTCTGTCGTTTCCTACACAAGAAGACCGGTGGAGAAATGAACTATGGATTCCACATGGCACACCATATGGCTCTGGGACTCCTCTTTCTGGGAGGAGGAAGGTAATCTGTGATCTGAAAAAGAATCTTCTGCTCCTTAATCCTTTATATTTCCATGCATATAAACATCCAGAATGCAAAAAAACCAAAGCAAAACAAAACAACTCCCTGAAGAATCTAAGATCTCTTTGCGATTAACCTTGGTATACAGAGAGGCTGCAAGGAAGGATATATCTTTTGTCCACAGTATTGCTTAGTTATATGAATTTAGGATAATCGAGAACACCAGTCTTTAGATTGGTTTTTTTTTTTTTTTTTGCTTTAATTTATATGCCGCCCTTCTCCGGAGACTCAGGGCGGCTTACAATGCGTTAAGCAATAGCCTTCATACTTTTGTATATTTGTACAAAGTCAGCTTATTGCCCCCACAATCTGGGTCCTCATTTTACCTACCTTTGAAAGGATGGAAGGCTGAGTCAACCTTGAGCCTGGTGAGATTTGAACTTGCAGTAATTGCAAGCAGCAGATGTTAATAACAATGCTTTAGTCCACTGTACTACCAGGTTGTTTTGTTCAAGGACGAACAAAAATATGAAAGCATTGAAAGGATCTCATAAGAGCATTTTCAGTAATGGCACTTTCCCCAATGGTTTTTCACTGCTTTATTAAGACTTGACTTAATAAGATTATGTATAAATTGTATCAGATATTTATGTGTTCTACTTTCTCACCTTTATGGTATAATTCTTCTTGGTAACTTTTAAAAACCACATCCCCTTGTATTGGTTTTATTGTTTATCATCATGCTGCGTAATCATAAGTATGGGTACAAGAAAGATAGGATATAAATTATTATGTAAAAAAAAAAAAAACTAGACTAAAGAGCAGGACTGAGTGATATTACAGTGACACAGAAGCTTAGGTTTGATGATCTAAGTCTTTCCATCCATCTTTCTGTAGTAATTTCAATTTCTTTCAAAAGCTAATTTCCTACAAGAAAAATAAAATATGCAGAATATGTTTCTGTAAATATGTTTAACTAAAGCGAGTCAATCATAAAGAAAAACATACTTGGTTGATAAGAACTGACAATGACTTGATGGCATATAATAAATTTTAAAAAGCAAGCCAATCAGGATTGAGCTATTCTTCCATCTGTCCATGTAAAAACAGCATATTTTGCTTGCAAATTTTGAATGAAATCCCTGTCATCTCCATCTAAAAGCTGTTGGCTAATAGGGCTGACAAACTTTTTTTCTGGAATGCCCATTAAATTAACTTGGCAATATGACTGAGTAGTCTTGTAGCTCTTTGTAACCTTTCTTTGGCATAGAACTGATATTACGGTCATTATAAATTGGGATCATATTTTGGCTTGACAAGGAAATGCTTTTTATTGACTCATGGGAAAATATTGTTTCTTTGCAGATATTCACTTAGCACTTCAAATTCATCAATTGCTGCTCTTCTTTGTGCACTCTACCCTCATTTCCCAGTTCACAGTACTGATAACAGGTAAAAGGACCTGATTAGGAAATACATTTAAAATTTAATGGTAGAAATAGTTTAGTCTGATAATGTTGGTCATTTGGGAAACAGGTTTTCAGCTTGTAATGTCTAGTGCATACAAATTTATTAAAAACAAAGAAATCTTGAAATGTTTATGTAGTAATTGCAGAGATCTAGAGAAAGCCTAACATTTTGATATTGCTGCTGGGTCTTCAATTATTTAAATTTATTGGCTGCCCAATTCCACATTTATTTAATATTGTATAATAAATGGAATAATTTTCACCGTGTAAAGAAGACTTGGGACAGATTGTGGAAGGAAGAGGAAATATGAAAAAGCTGTAAAACATCATGGAATTAGAAACGTTTTACTTTTTTCCATATGCACCATGCAAAGGAAGACAGAATCTAAACTGATGACAATAAAGTTCTACTGTCGGAATAATCACATTGAACTTCTGAGTGCCAGACTGGCCAATGATATTGACCAACTCCAAAATTCAATTAAATCTGTCTGTCTACACATCTTATCATAGGATGACTCTGGGTAAATACCCAGCCTCTGCAGTCTATAAATACTAATGCACTAAAACCACAACAGTTTTGTGAAAAGCTTTATAGGTTTTTTAAAATGAATCTTTCTAGGTAAAGGAATGAAGCATATATTTTATTTCAGTTATATGAAACTGAAGGTCTAATCAGTCTCCATGCCGGCACAATTATCCTCTGGCTAAGGAACAAATGTGTTCTCGTTCTCTCTCTCCCTCTCATAGGAAAAAGAAACGTTACAACTCAGAAATCTTTGTGGTGTGTATATATGCCTGCACCCATACAAATCTACAAATTCTAATTTCATATGTTTTAATTCCAAATTTATCTTTGATAACTTCTCAAGGGTCTCCAGAGCATATTCCTTTTCTCAATAACTATGAAATCTGCATCAGTTTGAAAAAAGAGTTTCACAGAATCGAGACCACATCTTTCCAAATGTAGGAGGGAAAAGATATTTAAATGGATCTTTGGCTATTCGTGACAGATGGATGGGTTCGTGCAGAAAGAGACAGCCTAGATTATTTCTTTCCTGCACAGGTATCACCTTCAAGCCCTGAGGCATCTGTATGTCCTGGCAGCTGAACCCAGACTCCTTGACCCTGTGGATGTGGATACAGATACCCCTTGCTATGCATTGCTGGAGGTTACCTATAAGGTATGTAAATTCTGTGACGCATGGAGAAAAAAAAGGTCTTATTCTTTGAAATGCAGGTGGGGAAAGATAACTCTTCCACAGTTGTTCACCCTTGTTAGGGCAGGTGAAATTACTGCACAGTGCTGCCTGACCTGGAGAAAGCCAAGCTTTGAAAGAATGGGAGGGATGGTAACTCACAATTGCTGCTTTGAGTTAGGAAATCAAAACTTTTTCAAAATGAAAAAGGATATTTCTATAAATAATCCAAGGTATGTAATATCTTTGTAAAACCTTACAAAGTTATTACATCTCTTGTTGATGTAATGTAAAAAATTAGACTATCAAAATTGTTATGTAGCTGTTACACTTTAAATAGCTATCCATCACTAAACCCTAACCCTCCCTCTTGGAACATTTGGTGTATTCCAATTGTATTAGCTTAAAGTAGACTGCTTGATCTTTTTACCCTTTGATATAAATTTTCAGATCGCAGGAAAATCCTGCATAAAAAATATCTACAGTTCACAGTACATTAATGTGATCATTTTAAGTCGTGGATGTAATCATCCAATAATAATTGTCAAAGTGCAAAGTTTTAAAAATGGGGATGTTTTTCTATCAAAATCTCTCATAAAACTACTTCTGACTTCTTGTGGAACTCCAGGGTCCTACAGGTCCAGTTAAGAAAGGTTGGCTTAAAGAAACAGCCACACTCCATACATAATTTGGCACAACCTTTAGATAAATACATGAAATGAAGGATACAATTATGAAGAACAGAAGATATCTTCAGGATCAGCTCATTATTTTGTAGTACTGAGGACGGATTAAAGCACTGTCCCTGGAAACTTATACGGTAGAAACATCCCATGACAGGGAACCTTAAAATTAGAAGATTTTTCCATGTGATCCTTCTGCTTTCTTGAAACCTGATTGTTTCATCCCATGTGATTTAGAAAATGTCTTTCATGCCTGTAATGAGAAAAGTAGTATTTTGAATTTGAGGTGGGGGCTCTATACATTCCATCTAAGGCAGTTTATGTGGTTTGTGAATGTTTTCTACTTCTACATTTCATAACTTAATTAAACAGTTTTGTATTTCAAAGGGAACTCAGTGGTATGAACAAACATCTGAGGAACTTATGGCACCCACCCTTCTCCCTGAACTTCATTTACTGAAGCAGGTATGCAAGGCGATTCTGTTCTGCAAAGTGACTGAGATGTAGCTCCTAAGCCCCCACACATGCAGACAGCATTTCTGAGAATGGAGGTTTAAGAAGATATTTTTTTCAAGGGCAATACCTCATTATATCAAACTCCCTTGACTTTGTCAGGAGGAGGGATTCTTTAGAAAGTATGGGGACTTCCTCTAAAATAAGGAACTTGAAGGTTTTTTGTAATCTTATCTACAACTTCAATTTGTTATGCTTCCAGATCAGAGTGAAAGGCCCCCGATATTGGGAACTGCTGATCGATTTAAGCAAAGGGGTGCATCATTTAAAGTAAGTTATGGTGAACATTCTGAATAGTTGCATGCTGTCTTGCAATTTTATTGACTCTGGAGAAATGTTGGAACCCAAATATAAACAGCTGTTTGACTATGGAGATTCTCAATCATCCAGGTCAACCAAAAAGTCCAGTTGCCCCTTGAAAAAGCACCCTTGGGACAAGCAGCTGTTTGCTGTTTAAGCGTGCTACAGATAGTACTCAGCTTATCGCCATTCTCTCAATCACCTGAGAGTTACTGAGAAAATGTAATACACTGAGAGTATATGCACCAAAGATAAATTTCTTGTGTGTTCAATCACACTTGGCCAATAAAGAATTCAATTAATTCAATTCCATTCCATTCCATTCCATTCCATTCCATTCCATTCCATTCTAAATTTATTATTGGTCCTTAAAGATACAGCTGTTGTGGCACCATCACAGTCACATGATCAGAGTTCAGGCACTTAGCAACGTGTGTGTGTTTAGGACCACATGGGCACTTTAATTCCCTCCAGCCACTATCTCCTCCCTTCTATGCCGTTAGCCCTCTGTACTTCATGCCCCCTGCTGCCCTAGCTGACTATCACTGTATACTTAGTATACTGAAGTATTTAGTATTTTATTGAAGTATACTTAGTATACAGAAGTATTTGTGCTGTACCATCCATTCTTAAATTACATGAGCAACCATATAGAGCATATCATCTTGCACTGTTTGTACAAAAAGAATAAGTGAAACAGTTTAACTCAATATTTCCCTCTTTTTTTTCCCAGATCAATTCTTTCAAAGGATGGTGTCCTCTATGTAAAACTGAGAGCTGGGCAGCTTTCCTACAAAGAAGACCCCATGGGCTGGCGAAGCTTGCTAGCACAAACTGTAATGCACCGAAAAATAGATACCTATGCAGTAAAGGTAGCTCTTCTCCCCCTTTGAAATTACCATGCTATGTGCTACCGCCTAATCATACCAGCAATGATGCTAGATAACACATTTTCCATTTTGAAAGTGTTTTTTAACTAAAAGATGGTCCTTAGAAAGCTGAATTGGGTTAATGGAAAACGAATTCAGAGATATGGTAGAAAGAAAGGCAGGTGCCAGCAGATTAATAGTACCTGCAAAGTACAAGCATGCCTTGTTTTATTGAGCTTCACTTTATTGCTCTTTGCAGATTTCTTTTACAAGACCCTGTACCTGCAAAAAGATTACTTGCCGAAGGCTCAGATAAGGATTAGCATTTTTAGTAATAAAGTATTTTTAATTAAGGGTTGTACATTTTTTTAGACATAATGCTATTGCACACCTAACAGACTACAATATGGTGCAAACATTGCTTTTACATGCATCGGGAAACCTGGAAATTGTGCAACTTGCTTTATTGTGATATTTGCTTTATTGTGGTGTTCCGGAACCAAATCTGCAATATCTCCGAGGAATGCCTGTATTGTGCCCTGGCATCCCAACAGAAATTTCTGTTGCCCTGTATCACATCCCTGTTTTTATTATGTAACTTTATTTTTTGTATTTGTCTAGAATCAGTTTAAACTAGGCAAGACAAAATAGCCTAAAACTCAAAAACCATCAGGTTATCCACTAACCTGATTGATTGATTCACATACCACCTCATTTCAGAGATTCTGGACGGTGTTCAATTTTTTTTTTAAAAAGAGATAACAAACCATAATGAACCAGATCCTCTCAAAGATTTCTGAAAACTTAAATTTTAACTATTCTCCAGAACAGGGGTCTCCAATCTTGGCAACTTTAAGACTTGTGGACTTCAACTCCCAGAATTCATGAGCCTGGTAGACTTGAAGTCTACAAGTTTTAAAGTTGCCAAGGTTGGAGACACCTGCTCCAGAAAGTGATAAGAATAGAGACCACTCTTGCCTTGGGGGTTAGCAATTCCCAAGGAACGTAGCAGCCACTGCTTCTTGCTCTCCCTTATGTTAAGAGGGGACCTTCAGCAGGCATTCCCCTTTTCACTTTGGTCAAGAGGGCAGCATCTGCAAAAAATGGTGTAGGGTCTCCTATTTGGGAGGGGTGGGGTTGAACTCGATGACCTACAAGTTCCCTTCCAACTCTGTAAATCTGTTTAGGAGAGGTTATCACTAAGATCCCAAGGACCTGAGCCATATAGGGTTGAATTGCACCTGGATAACAGAAATGGAATGCTGGTGGAGTGGGGGTGGGAAAGAGACTGATACCTTGGATGGTGAGAATTATGAAAGATTGGAACTGCTGTAGAAAACCCCCACCCCTGAGCCCAGTTCTTGAAAGGTTAGACTCTAAGCAGTGTCTCATGATTTCATGTGACAGGAAGAATCATTTTGAATATAACATGTCCAATGTAGTACTATGTAGAGCTTTATATGTAATAACTATTATTCTGAATTGGGCTTGGAAGTTTATAGATTACTAATACAATGTCTTAAGAATAGGTGCTAGTTTGTCAAAGTGCATCTTGGGCATCAGCAGTCAGATCACTCTATTCTGTACTGACTGTAGCACCACACGGAGTGTACTCCACTAGTTTAAACATGTGGCGATGAAGGCATGATTATTTTTCAAGTAGTTCTTCTTACCAAGACACCGATGATGCGGGGTGGTGGTGTGTAAAATGTACTTTCTCATAAAGAATAATAGTTTGCAACCAAAAAAAGGGAAATCTTCTAATTTCAAATATCATTTTATTTTTAGCCAGAAGCTATTTCTGCTTTCACATCTGATCCAGCGCTGCTTTCATTTGCTGACTATTTTTGCAAGCCAGCTGCAACTATGGGGCAAGTACGTTGTCAGGTATAAACCTAGCTAGGAAAATGGGAGAGGGTGTATAAGGGAATTGATTATATTGGTCAAAAATTCTGAAGTGTCTAATGACATAGATCATCCTTATCCAACCAGGATTTCCCAGCTATATTGGGCCACAATTCCCATAATTGTCCCAGAGGATATGTTGATCAGAAATTATGGGAACTGTAGTCAAAGACATAGGGAGTAACGAGGATGATCAGCAGTAAGGTGGATAGACTTAATTACAGTGGTGATGAGAGCATCACTGGAAGACTTAAAAGACCAGGTTAGGGACATAATGGCAAATGCCTATGTGGTTGCCAAGTCACCAATGACTTCATCACCAAAGCTCTGAAAATGCCAAGGGAATTGGTTTCTCCTAAAATAGTTCCCAACCATGATGAAATAGTTAATATCTATACACACAGTGCATTTTAAATAAATGAACAAGGGATTCATTATTTTACATTTAATTCTAGCTTTCTGATATTGGGATCCAATAAGAATATGTGATTCAAGTCTATAGATGGGAAAAAAAATTGAACTAAATGCTGTGTCCTAGTCTAGGTAGTATAGAACAGAAAATACTTTTCTGTTATGCAGAAACTTTGGGAAGGTTCCCAAATTTGTTTTGGAATTGGACTAATTAGAAAAAAAGCACAAATGTTTAAAAGAGTAGATGGCATGCTTTGTAAAATATATTTTTCTTGCTTCAGAAACAGGAAGTTTTTGACCTCTTTTCATCCATTCTGTATGAGTGTGTTACTCAGGAGAATCCAGAGATGTTGCCGGCTTATATAGCAATTGATCAGGTATTTTTTTCTCTCCTCAGCATGTGTTCTTATTCATATATATACTTATTTTCTAGTTTAAAGAAAACATTAAGTGCATTTGTAATCTACATTTATTTTGATTGCTTGAATTATGCTTTAAAAAGCTATTTGTAATAATTCATCCTCAGTCACATTTTATTTTTATGCCTTCTAGAATTCAACAAGTTTCCATTATTATCTATAACAAACATATATCTGAGGAAAATCAAATTCAGTGAAACATTATCACCTTGTGATAATTATCTTACACATAACTCCTTTGCCCTTACTGTATTAATTTAATTCTATCTTCATTTTCTTTCGTATTAGGCTGTGAGAAGATTAGAAAAAAAGGAAATGTCTGAGACATTTGATTTGTGGCAGATAAAATTGGTTCTAGAGTTTTTTAATTCCAGAAGTCATCAGGAAAGAATAAGGAAAAATCCACATGCAGGACTTTTTATGAATTCAGAATTTTTACCTGTGATGAAGTGTTCTATAGATAATACCTTGGATCAGTGGTTGCAAGGTAAAGCTTTCATTATTTACTTTGCTGGTAGAAGGCTACAATAAGTTCTTTAAATTGAAAGTGGTTTCTACTTTAATATTGACTTTTATCCTAGAAATGAAGAAAATTAATGTGGTAATTACAAACTCAGTTCTCTGTTGGTATATAGTGAAGATGGAGGCATAGGCATACGAGGGAAGTATCAGTAGGTACAAGGCAGTTCCAAGATTAGCCAAAAGAAAAAACACACTTTGGAAAAAAAATTAAGAGGTGCGCCTCTATTAATGATGTGGAATCCATAATTAATACTTTTTAACTGGTAATAGAGAGAAGAAAGAGGAAATGGGTAATGATGATAGTGAAAGGTATG